TAAGAAAAGGATGTTTACCCACTTGATTTCTTTTCCAGTTTTGGACAGCTAATATATCCTAGACTGATCAACTAAATTTGTTTGCAAAATATGTATTTTATATTGACAACCAAAGGGATTGTATTCTTTTATTGGGTTGTTTTTGATTATCAGGTGGAGGGATGTACCCCCAAGTCACTCTAGAAACATTTATGACCAAACTACCTTGTTACAGTTGTTATGTTTAAAAAAAAAAAAAAAAAAAGTTATGTTTCTGATGCCGGCGACAGGGATGACCATGTACGTCCGATTGTCTGGAGTCAATTTCTACTTGGACCTGTAATGCGGGCCACAGAGAGATGTAACTAAAACTATAACATGATCCCAATACAACATTTTCCATGGCAATAAATGTTCTTTCCTTTAATGTCAAGGGCCTCAATTCACTCTGTAAAAGAAGTCTCCTTGTGAGGGAGCTTAAGATGAAGAATGATGATGTGGCATATATACAGGAGACGCTCCTCCCCAGGCCAGCACAGGTTTGGTCAACAGGCTCGAATTAAAACAGGGCTTTCAAAACACGAGCACTGTGCAAGCGCTCGTGGGTTGCAATTCTTTTTCACAGACATTGTCCACTACAGGCACGGACATATTAGCCACGAGGCAAACAAGGCATTTGCCTTGGGCTGCATTTTTCAGGGAGCGGCAAAAAACGCCGCCCCCAAATGCCCAGGGCAAATGCCTAGTTAGCTTTGTGGCTAACTGACATGCTGGGCGGCGCTGGCTGGTGGTCAGGCGGGCGGGCGGCTGGCGAGGGAGCTCTTCCTCTGAGCGGTCTGCTCAGCTCCCTCGCGCGCCGCAGAGTGAGGCTGGGAGCCGGAATATGACGTCATCTTCCGTCTCCCAGACTCACTCTGCGGCTGGGAGCCGGAATATGACGTCATCTTCCGGCTCCTAGCCTCACTCTGCGGCGCGCGAGGGAGCTGAGCAGAGGACTCAGAGGAAGTGCTCCCTCGCCAGCCGCCCGCCCAGCAGCCAACCCATCAGCACGACCGGCAGCCACTGGACCCGCAGGGAGATAGAGAACCCCACCCCCCCCCAGCATTCCCAAAGATAAGGAGGCTGGGGGAGGGGGGGTTAAATTAAAAAAAAAGTGTTAATGTGAGTGATTGTGTGTGTGTGTGTCTGACTGTGTGTGTGTGTGTGTCTGACTGTGTGTCTGACTGTGTGTGTGTGTGTCTGACTGTGTGTGTGTCTGACTGTGTGTGTTTGTGTCTGACTGTGTATGTTTTTGTGTCTGACTGTGGGTGTGTGTGTGGGTGTGTGTGTGTGTGTCTGACTGTGTCTGACTGTGTATGTGTCTGTGTCTGTGTGTGTGTTTGTGTCTGACTGTGTGTGTTTGTGTCTGACTGTGTGTGTTTGTGTCTGACTGTGTGTGTTTGTGTCTGTGTGTGTTTGTGTCTGACTGTGTGTGTGTATTTAGAAGGTTGGGTGGGGGTGGTGCGGGGCGAGGGGGGCGCCTGAGTTTTGTCCTGCCTAGGGCAGCACAAAACCAGGATACACCTCTGACTACAGGTTTCCAATGTTTTAGAGGACCTCTCTGGTAGATATATTCTGGTTTCCAGTATGCTGTTTCACTTCCTGAATGTGTACGCCCCAAATAATCCAGACTGGGATTTCTGGGACTCCATAGAGTCACCGATTCACATTTTGTCCCACAGTGTGATTTTGGTTGGAGGAGATTTTAAAGTAATGCCGTGTCTGACGAGAGAAAGCAGTTTACAACCAGGGACAATGAGACCACAGGGACAGGAAGCACTGGATAAATTGTTGCATAAATTTATCAGCCACACAGGCCTTCTGGATGCCTGCAACTACAACATTCTGATACCTGAGATTAATCTTTTTACTCCACCCTGCATTATACTTACTCTAGGATAGATCATTTTTTACTTAACATACTAGGCATGATAAAAGATAGCGGTACTTCCTAAATAGGAAACCTAATAGGGAGTACCATAAGAAATGGGTTATAGGGGTGGCAACAAGGGCATAACCCTGCGTGGAACGCAAAAATATATACAAAAAATGAAAAATGAAGGAGAGACCACCTCGTAACAGGACGTGCCCCTCTCCTTCAAACCACCCCAAAAAACATATGTCTATAGAAAATAAATAAATTTTATTGAAAAAATAGTATAAAAAGCCAAATATCCTGAGGACTCCTGGAAAAGTCTGAACTATTAGCTGCAAGGTATGTCAGTCACTAGAAGATGTAACAATTGTAAACTTAGACAGAGTTGTTACCAAAGGTAATACTGACAGTGTGAACCACTATTGAGTGTGATCATCTAAGTAAACCTAATTAAATACTAAACTTCTAGTATTTAATTAGGTTTACTTAGATGATCACACTCAATAGTGGTTCACACTGTCAGTATTACCTTTGGTAACAACTCTGTCTAAGTTTACAATTGTTACATCTTCTAGTGACTGACATACCTTGCAGCTAATAGATCAGACTTTTCCGGGAGTCCTCAGGATATTTGGCTTTTTATACTATTTTTTCAATAAAATTTATTTATTTTCTATAGACATATGTTTTTTGGGGTGGTTTGAAGGAGAGGGGCACGTCCTGTTACGAGGTGGTCTCTCCTTCATTTTTCATTTTAGGCATGATAAAAATTGTTAAAATTGAAATGAATAGAATAACTTGGTCGGACCATGTGGATGTCACAATCACTCTGTGCAACCTGAATAGACTACCAATTGGAAGTGGAGAGTTAATTCATCCATTTTAAAAGATGCCAATATAGTTGTAAACGTTAAATCTGTTATTTGAGAATAGTTTGAACACCAAGCAGCATTGTGGAAGGTAGAACAGCAACATAAAACATGTTCCACATTGATTTGTAATCTGGGCAAAATGGCTGTTCTATGAGAAATTCAATAAAATGAACACGCACTTCTCGCAAGAGCCCTACGACCCTGGAGTGGCTTCAAACCAATAACTACTTGAAGGTCAGCAGAGGCCACATTAGTTAGAACACCAGAAGGAATAAATTTGATTTTTACCCAATACTATTCATCACTGTATAACCACTCTCCCCACCATATCTTTGAAAAAAATAATCATTTTCCATTAATATATTTAGTTGTATATTGCCCATGTATATACAATGTATATTTTTTTAGAAAAAGGTGGAGAATTCCCAAAGGACCAAATAGATTTAATTTCTTAGGGTATTTAGTTAATCCTAGCAAATGTGTTTTGGTTTGAGGGACTGTTTTTTTCAAATTAACTGGCACAGCAATGTGGACCAAGTTTGCACCTAGTTATGCTAATTTATTTATGGTTTATTGGAAACAATTTCTCGTTTCTTCCATGCATGACTGGTGTGCAAACTTGGTCCTATATAAAAGATACATTGATGATGTTTTCTTCATGTGGGATAGGAAGAAATTTCCCTCCAACAGTTCTTTCAGTACTTGAATTATAATGATTGGGGTATCAATTTTGTATGCAATTGTAGTAATGAAATAGTGATATTTTTAGATTTGGACCTTTTTATTAAAAACACATTTTAACGAGGTAGACACCAACTGTTTTATTGATATTGAAAATTGCCCTTATTGTCCATGGTTGGACAAAATCACAAAAGGAAAATGATTGCGTATGAGGAGAAATTGTAACGAGAAAGATACATTTAAACAACATTTTGAAATTGAAAAAGAAAAACAGTTTTATCACAAAGGGCATATTAAAAAAAGATGTAGAATTACAATATACAAGAGTAGAAAAAAAAAGATAGGAAAGATATTCTAAAGTACAAAGAAAAAACTAAATTAAAACAGTAGAGTAAACAAATACCCTTTATAAGTAATTACAATTCTCAGCAAAATGTCCTTAAAAGAATAATGAGAAAAAAATGGCACATTGGAAAACAGGATAAATAATTACTTACTGTCACGGGTTCGTGGTCCGAAGACCAGGATCCCAGTATGCCTGATGAGGATGATAGGAGTGTCAGTGTGGAAATGGACAATCAGGGTCTGGTGCAGGGTAACCACATGGCCCCTGGTGTTAAGCACCAGTGTTTGTGTGGCCACATACCAGAGCCCCGATGCAGCTTAGCAGATGCCAGGAGCGGATATTAAGCAGATATGTATCCAGTACTAGAAACAAGGCAAGACTAGAACAGGCACCAAACAAGAAAACAAGGCAAGACTAGAAGAACCCAGAACCGGAGCAGGACAGAAAGCAGAAATCAGAACATGTACACAATACATGAGGGAAACATGAACAGGACGTGGACAGGGCAGGACAGGACTGTACATGAACTGGGAATACAAGACAAAATAAAACAAGACAAGAGGAGACATAACTAAGTACTATATATGTAATAAACATTAGAGATTTAGACATACATAAATGGCCAAGATGTATGCAGCCCACCACTGCGCCAAAGTGCTCCAATTACGGTGGGTCCTAACTGCCTAGATATGCATGGCTAAATAAACAACAATAAAACACACACAGTACTTACCTGCAAAGAAATGAGCAGAGGAAATGAGACCACTGCTTGCAGGAACAGACTGAAACAAAATGGATTAACAGATACAAGACCTGCGCCTCCACGTTGAGGATCTGGACAATCACAGCCGCAAGCACAACTTCCGGGTAAGAGGCTGCAGGGAAACAGACACCCCAGAAGACACGAGGGCCATCCTGATACCGCTCTTCAACCGCATTCTGGGCCGCCTGCATCCCCATAGACGCCAGGGACGCCTGCATCCCCATAGAGAGAGCCCACAGGGCACTAAGGCCTAAACCACCTCCGGGCGCCCCTCCCAGGGACATAATCTGTCACATACCAGACTTCCAACTCAAGGAGGACATAATGAGGAAAGCCTAAGTAGAAAGAACCTGGAGACATGAGGGGCAGATGATCAAACTGTATAATGACCTCTCCCACCTCACCCTGCAGCCCCGAAGAGCGCTGCGGCCCTTAACCGCCGCTATGCAGGAGGCCCAAATTCGCTACCGATGGCAATTTCTGTTCGCCCTTACAGCCCGCCGGGGCAACACAGAAGCCACAATCCGGACACCGCAAGACATCCAGGCATTCCAAAAGGCCCTCGACCTCCCACAAACCTACATCATAGACTGGACCAATTGCCCACTAAATGAACGCCTCACAGGAAGACCTATCCGCCGCAACATACAGCAGGGACTGAACACCGACTTTGCCACTCTTCAGCAAGTGGAACCTGATGAATAGAATGGGTACTGCCCATCTACCTTCCCACAACACATGGCTGTACACCGGAGGGTCCAACCTGCCAGAGAAATGACAGGGGAGACACTTCATCCAGAGACTTTGCCATGCTATTGTCCAATGTGGAACACGAGGGCCCCCCCCTTTTTTTTTTCTGTTGCTCACCTGCTGAATTATAGCACTTGCACCACTCGCCCACCTGGGGACCAAGTGCAACAGCAACACACTGCCATGCACGACCGGAAGACACCTTGCCCTGGACAACCCCAAGAGCCATCCAACTTGTTAAGGACAACCAAGCATCACCAATATGACTACCAGCAAGCCTAACCGAACATCTATGGCTAACCTACTGCCTCCCACACAAGCTGCTCTGCACTGGACTGGACTTGCCCCCCCATGATAGGATGGGATGTTGCCTCCCACTAAACATTTTCCAACACTCTCTGGGAGTCCCCCACCCGCAAATAACTGACTGACACTATGGTCGCTCCCCGGGAGAAAACAGAAGAAGAAAGAGACCAGAAGTGCAAGTACAACCCAGGGGACTACAACCCCTCCAGACCCCTCACCAGCTACATACAGTACATAGGAAAACACACACAGAGACAGGTGCCAAGCTCCACCTCAAAAGACACACTCACACTCGCATTAACACGACATGTAGCTCCACACCACACACTGGCGACAACATAGAGATGCAGACATCAGAGAGACGGGACACTTGTGCTCTGCCCATCAATGGTTGCAATGTTAAATCTGTGTAAAACTTAGGATAAAGTTACTTGTCTATGCTTTGATGTATAACCTGTAGGTGCTGAACCGACAGTGAAAACACAATATGTAACCAATTCTTTATACTAAGACTGTTTGCTACTAGAGAAGACTCAACAAGGGTCCTTCAGATGACTAAACCAAACCATGGCCTTTATAAACGACTAGGCATATCGCCACGAAAGAGGACTCTGACCCCAAGACAAACAGACAAATTAAACCGTACCGATCAGTGACAAACCTTACCGTACCGGTTCCACAGACAAGCCGTAACCACCTTACAATAGCACCAGACAACACTAGACACTCACTGACCTACACATAAATGAACGAGAGACGAAACCTCTAACATGAAGGGCATCCCAGCCTATACAAGACAGTTTACGCTAAACCCAGGATAATGTTATGCTCATAACTAATATGATGTTCTCCTTTAAGCCCCTAGCTTACTTCTACCATGTGCATTTCACGATACGAACCATAGGGGGCCAACATAGAAGCCTGCTCACACGCACCATAGACTGTCTATACGGCCTTACCCTTGATGGGCGCCACATTACTCCACATCTCCAAACTAAGGAGCAGCGGGGGCCCGAAGTGGACCAACTGAGACACACCATCCAACGAGAGGTCACTATTGTGCGACCGACCCTCCCTCCGATGCCACCAACCCCACGGGTTCGCTGCCAACCACCTGCTGGGTGGACACCTGGGACAACACCCCTAGACTCCCACCCAACAGCGGCACATTGACCCTAACTACCATCGCCCCGGCGACTTGACAACACCCATACTTGCTGCTCTATACCACGCGCTTCTACACCCTTTACCCCTCTCTACCTCCCTCCCTCACCCCGCAGACCTCCCCCTTCCCTCTTTACCTTTGTCTGCCCGTACCTCCCCTTACCCTTGACCACACCACTCCACCGACTGGTCCGGCCAGGGTGAGACCCCACAGTATGGGCTAGCCTCCCCCGCTCCCCACGCCCCCGGCGCAGGCAGATACAACAGAGACAGCCTCAACATCTACACGATCAATGCGAGGGGCCTCAACTCCTCAAACAAACGGGCCAGAGCGCTGCGAGAGATCAAAGCACTGGGGGTATCTATAGGCTTTTTCCAAGAAACCCACTTCCACGCAACCCAAGCTCTCAGGTTCTCCAACAAATACTACCTGTGACGAAGTGCCCTTCGCCACTTGGTCCTGGAGAGGCCTACTTGCCAGCCTCCGCCCCTGTGACTATGACTCTTTCATGTATCTGGCTTTAAAGCCCCTAGTCTACCTTCAGACAGACTATTTATGTAGGCTGCTTTATTTATCTTATGTTTTAGTCACCCTGTACCCATTATAGGTGCAGGGTGTGTGTAATGTAATTGTTTATAGTGTGTGTGTGTGTACTGTGTAATGTATTGCCTGCTCTCTTGTATTGCTGAGGTTTGCTACCAACTAGGTGGGTTTGGCTATGGAGCTTGTCTAGTGCCCTCTGTTGGTAGCAACAGCAATATGCACTACCTGAATTGCAAGACTGGTTCATTTGCATATTCGGGTAGATTTGCATATTGCTAATTCTGCAGGCAGGTGAGATATTTACTGTTAAATATTGTCTCCCCCCACCCCTTTAAAAATGTGCCATTGTGTTGTGATAAGTCACTGTGTGTTGCTTGATATGGTTTGACTGTTTGTGATTTTATTGAGGTTTCACAACAATGTTATTGTGGTGACCCTATTGGCTGGTCCCAAGGGAAATAAAGGTTTTGAAAGTTCTTCTTGATCCCTCTAAATGTAGCCTTGTCTCGTTATTGGAGGGAGCTGTTATAATCACACTGGGGATTGCTATGCTCTGCATGCTCCCCTAAGCTTGAGTCACTTAGCTCTTTTAAGAGCTTGTTCCTGACACGCTCTCCTTGGAGGAGGGGTCTTCACCACACAGTCCTGGATGCTGGAGGTTCATACAGGGTGGAAGGAAGAGTTCTTTCCCACACAGTCCTGGAGGACAGAAGCTGATCCAGGGTGGAAGGAAGACGGCGAGACTCCAGTCAAGATACGGCGGTTGCGGAGTCTGCGGTGGTTGTGGTGTCTGCTGCAGTGCTTGGAGTCCTCAGGAAGCACTAGGAGCATCCGTCAACGGAGGGTACTCGGTCGGAGTACAAGGAGCTCCGTTACATTGGTGGCAGTGGTGGGATGGCGTCCTAGTGCGAGGAGAAGCAGCTCGGAGACACTGGTATCGTATGAGAGGTTATTGAGGGCAACACTAGCCACTGTGCAGCGTCCCTAACTACAGCAGCATGGAGCAGGGATGGATAGAGCCCTGCGAAGAGCACCTCAACATGATACGTCGCTACGAGGACGACGCTTACATTGAGGAGGTAAAGAGGCGGTTGGTCTGCTATGGCCCAGACCTTTCGAACGAGGTGGTCCACCAAGTAATGCGCCAGTTGAGTGCTGAGAACAGTGCGGCAATGGCCTTTGAGCGACAACTGTGGAGGTTGAGGATATGGACACCTAGTCTCCAGCGGCAGTGCAAGTTACAGGGAGCCGAAGGTGTCGTCCTTCCTCCCCAGCAGCAGTGCAAGTTACAGGGAGCCGAAGGTGTCGTCCTTCCTCCCCAGCGGCAGTGCAAGTTACAGGGAGCCGAAGGTGTCGTCCTTCCTCCCCAGCGGCAGTGCGAATTCCAGGGAGCCGAAGGTGTCGTCCTTCCTCCCCAGCAGCAGTGTGTCCTACAGAGAGCAGAGACAGTTGGTCTCTCTCTCCAGCAGCAGGACAATGTTATGGGAGTGGAGACAGGCGGTCTCCCTCTCCAGCGGCAGCCTGTGTTTCAGGGAGAGGAGCACAGCACCCTATCTCCCCAGCGGCAGCTTACCCTACCAAGGGGAGACACCAATCTCCCAGATGGCGCAGAGGGGACCGTGGTCTCTGTGCCCGACCTACAGGGATGCTGGACAGCCTGTCCAGATCCCCAACTACCCTCACAGGGACAACAGGAGGAGGGGGTAAGTACGAATTCCCCTCCCCAGCTAACTCCTAACTTGGCCCCAGGGTTAACAGGGGAGATGTTAATCCCCACTGACCCCCACGTTCCCCTGGCTACTGAGCCGGACTATGTCCCAAGCCCCCCAGCGGAAGAGCTGGCAGCTGGGCAGAGTGCAGTCAGCCTCTGCCCTCCCTTTGTCCCTTGTCCAGAGCCTGATGTCCTGCAGGCTATACCAGCAGAAGAGCTGGCATCAGGGCAGACCGCCGCTGGCCTCTGCCCTACCGATCCCCTTGTCACAGGACTGGCCTGCACCCCCCTCCTCCCAGCAGAAGCGCTGGCATCAGGGCAGAGCGCCGCTGGCCTCTGCCCCTCAAGTCCCCACAGCGTGTTGCCCCATCACCCCAGAGGAATACCCAGGTGCAGTCACTGTTTGCTGTGGGTGGGCTGCTCTAATAACTGTTTGTTGTGGGTGGGCTACTCTGGCACTTGCTTATGGTCGGTGGGTGACTCGACTAACTTAGGCACTGACCGACAGAAAGTCAGGTGCCTGGTTAGTCTTCCCCCCGAAGGGGAGATATGTGACGAAGTGCCCTTCGCCACTTGGTACTGGAGAGGCCTGCTTGCCAGCCTCCTCCCCTGTGACTATGACTCTTTGATGTATTTGGCTTTAAAGCCCCTATTCTACCTTCAGACAGACTATTTATGTAGGCTGCTTTATTTATCTTATGTTTTAGTCACCCTGTACCCATTATAGGTGCAGGGTGTGTGTAATGTAATTGTTTATAGTGTGTGTGTGTACTGTGTAATGTATTGCCTGCTCTCTTGTATTGCTGAGGTTTGCTACCAACTAGGTGGGTTTGGCTATGGAGCTTGTCTAGTGCCCTCTGTTGGTAGCAACAGCAATATGCACTACCTGAATTGCAAGACTGGTTCATTTGCATATTCGGGTAGATTTGCATATTGCTAATTCTGCAGGCAGGTGAGATATTTACTGTTAAATATTGTCTCCCCCACCCCTTTAAAATGTGCCATTGTGTTGTGATAAGTCACTGTGTGTTGCTTGATATGGTTTGACTGTTTGTGATTTTATTGAGGTTTCACAACAATGTTATTGTGGTGACCCTATTGGCTGGTCCCAAGGGAAATAAAGGTTTTGACAGTTCTTCTTGATCCCTCTAAACGTAGCCTTGTCTCGTTATTGGAGGGAGCTGTTATAATCACACTGGGGATTGCTATGCTCTGCATGCTCCCCTGAGC